CTGGCCCGGCACTTGCTGCCCCTGGATCTTTCAGATGCTTGGATAGCACGGAATGCGATCTGACCAATCGATTTGACAGCATTGGGCCTTGGTCATGAACCACCTTGCTGGTGCTCAGCTGGAGCCTGGGGATTCCCTTAAAGGAAACCACCAGCAAGCCACTGTCCAACGTCTGTTCCTGGTACCAATCTGACGACCGGAAGGTGTGACTCACGTGAGGCAAGCTGAATCCTGGGCTGAAGGCCGAGCTCCAGCTGCAGGCCATCCAAGTAGTTTGCTCTGACAGATGGGGCTGGGGGGTTTGACAGCAACATCAAAAGGAAGCCAAACATTCGGGGGCCGAAGCTCATTTTGAGACAACCCTGAAAAGCAGAGGAAGCCCAAAGGGCGAAGCTCCTCCGAAGGCAGGTTCCTCTCTAGCCCCCAGAGAGTGGGTTTTGTATTCATTAACACATGAATGATACATACATACATCCATGCATGCATGCATGCATACAGACACGCACGCACGCACGCATGCATACGGCACACCTGCACACATGCATGCATGCAATGCATACATGCATGCACACATGCACACATCCTTGCACACACGCATGCTTACATATATACAGAAATACATCCATGCATACATCCATGCACGCACGCGTGCACATGAAAATACATACCGACATACACAACTGCATACACACGTGTGTGCATACATACATGCATACATCCATGCACGCATGCACGCACGCACGCAACATACATACATAGATATATACAAAACAGACAGACATTACATTCCATGACGCTACCCTCCATTACATTGCATTGCATTGTATTGCATTGCAGTACATTATTACGTTGCACTACATTAGGCTACATTGCATACATACATACATACAGACAGACAGGCAGGCAGACAGACAGACAGACAGACAGACAGATAGACAGACACATTCACACACATACATACAGACGGACGGACGGACACACACACACACACACATACACGCTCACATACATTGCATTACATCACGTTGCCTTGCATAGTAAATCAATTTGTAGCAGAGCATAACGCATCATAGCATTACCTACTAACATAGATACATGTGTACGTAGGCATATACATACATGCACACACACACACACATACATACCTACATCCATACATCCATCCATACATACACACATACATGCATGCATGCATGCATGCATGCATGCATGCATACATACACACATACATACATACATACATACATACATACATACATACATACATACATACATACATACATACATACATACATACATACATACACACACATACATACGCACATGCATACATACCATACATACATACATACATACATACACACATGCATACGCACATGCATACATACATACATGCATACATGCATACATAGACTTGTACAGCAGCAACACATAACGCAAGGTAATGTAACGTAATCTAACATAGCACTACATACACACTCACACCCACACACACACACACACCCACACGCACGTACACACGCATGGACGGACGTGTATGGATACGTGCATAGGTACATACACACACATATTCATATACGTGCATATAGATACATATACGTGCACATACATAATATACATAAGTGCATACATACTTTACATACATAGACGCACGTATACACATATGCATACATATGCATACATAACATACATATACATACATACATACATACACATACATAGACATACATATACATACCAAAACGTACATATACCTACATATACATACATGTACATACATCTACATACATCTACGTGTATCTTCATACATGTACATACATCTACACATAGATGCATACATACACATACATATACATTCATCTACATACATCTACATGTATGTACATACATGTACATACATCTACACACAGATGCATACATACACAAACACATACATGCATATACATACAGGTAAATACATTTTGATACGTATAGATATGCAGATACATATACATATTCATATCCATACACATGTACTTGTACATGTACATGTACTAGTACATACACATACTCATATACAGACGGTGGGACAGACAGACAGAGACAGAGACAGAGACTGAGACTGAGACAGAGACTGAGATAGAGACAGAGACAGAGACAGAGACAGAGACAGAGACAGAGACAGACAGGCAGACAGACAGACAGACAGACAGACAGACACACCAGACCAGACCAGACCAGACCAGACCAGACCAGACAGGCAGGGCAGGGCAGGGCAGGCCAGGGCGAAGCAAGCACGCATGCACTTTTTGAGGTCAAAATGTTCATTTTCTAGGCGCACACACACACACACACGCACATCACTTGGTTTTACATAAGCCCGTAACTTGCATCTGCAGGTATGCACATCTAAAGGAGATATTTAAAACAATTATATACATATCTCCATGTGTAAATGTCGAATAGATACGCGCAGCACCTGTCCAGAGAGAGAGAGAGAGAGAGAGAGAGAGAGAGAGAGAGAGAAAGAGAGAAAGAGAGAGATACGGGAGAGGCGAACAGCTCCTGGCACCTGGGCGGCTTCTGCTTTGGGTATGGCCATGATGGCAGTGAGGCTGGGCCATGGCAAGTCCTTTTGGGTCAGACGGGGGTTGAAGGGGCAACTTGCGAAATGGAAACCCAATCGCTGTGAAGCGTTCCAAGTGTAACCAGCTAAAGTGCCAACCCCTTGGACTCTGAAGTCGACGTGTCAATGGAGGTGGGGCAGCTGGACGTGCACGTTCGTTGGCAAGGCGGGGGGGGGGGATTGGCGCCCTCTTTTGGCTCGATGTTCTCGCCAATCCCAAATCAGAAACCGCGTGCGAAGGCGTGGGCGAGGACGGATTGCGGCACCGCCAGTTCCAAGTGTGATTTTGACTGCGTGCACACCCCCACGCTTTGCTTCGTGGCGAGCTGGTGCTTGTTTGTTCACATCTCCTTTGCGCGCCACGAGCATTTGTCATAAGGATCATAATGATCATAATGATAATAACAGGGATGATAAGGATCATAACAATAACAGGGATAGGAATAACAGGGATAAGAACCTTTGTCATAAGGATCATAGGGATCGTGACACTAACACAGCCCAACACCGCCAATGACGCTGAGCGCCCCGGGACCGCGGGACCGAGGCCGCAAGGCTTTGGGGGAGAGCCCGGTGTATTTGGCCGGCTTCCAGGGCAAGGATTGGGAGACCGCCGAGGCGAGCCAAGTGCCGTGATCGACTTGGTTTGTTTTGTTGAAATATTTTCCCGCCTGGCTGAGGAGAAGTGAATGACACCAAGAATAAATCATATTGCATATGATTGTACGCATATGCATATGTATATATAATGTGGTATATGCATATATATATATATGTTGAGTTTTGCCGAGAGCTCTCACTTGAGATATGTTCCCCTTTTGCCCTACTGTGGATACGCATGGACAAACTCCTTTGAACAATTTTTTGACCCTCAGCATGGATGAAAATTCAGGCCGCGTGAGATTCGCATGTGATTCTGAGAAAGGACTCGGTTGTCAAGGTGTAAGCATTCCACCAGTGTTACTTTCGCACAAATAAAGACAGGGGAGCATGGTTGTTCCTCAGGGCAGGAGAGGACTGAAGGAGACTGATTTGGGAATTGCCCCATTCTGGAACTAGGACTTGGTGTCAGTCTATGATCTCTTTTCGGCATCCCAAAATCCTTGTTCTTGCCGCCAGGAGAGATGGGCATCCCTCTCATGCCAAGAGAAGATGGCGCTTGCTTCTGACACCAGACATCTTGGTGCCCTGTGAGCAAGTGGTAGGGCGCACGACTGAGAGATGGTAAACAAAGATCTTATCATTTTATCCCCCTTCATTCATTGGACCATGGTGCCAGAGAATCCAGCTCAATGATTGTTGATCATCCTCTCAGCATGCGAGAGCTCGAGCCTCACGCAAACCGAGGTAAGTCCAGAGCCTCCGCTGCATCTAGCTGACTCAGGGCAGCTATGGGCGTGTTTTTTGCAGGGGAAGACAGACCCATATGGATGTGTTTTAAATGAGGGTGGACACCTAAAACGCAAACAACGAGGTGGCCAATGACAAGATATGCCCATATGCGTCAAAGCTCCTTTGTGGACGGTGAAGCAGGGCGCCCATTATCAAACCAGGCATTTGGAGGAACCCCAAGTTTCGACACATGTAGAGACGTGTTCCTACTTTTTCTCTACGAAGGGTGCTGACCGCAGCAGACCACGTACAGAGACAAGAGCAGGTACAACACGCAGTGGCGTGGGTATTCGCCTGAGTGGCAACGAGTTTCCGTGCAAGCGAGGCACCCAGATCTCGTACTTCTGGTTTCCGGTTCGCATCGTGCACGGCCAGAAGAGGGACTGGCACTTTGCTCTCCTGTCCTGCGGTGACGTGGAGCAGGAGAGAATTGTCCTTAGGTATATACCGCATGTCTGACACGGTCGCATTGGGTTGGGGATCCCAATTGACCAAGGGAAGGGTTTTCATTTTGTCAATCCGCATGATGCAGTAGATGGCGACAATCCCGAGAGTGCTTTTTTTCCACGTGGGCGTTCGCTGAAATCGAATCGGAAGGCGAATCTGGAACTGACGGTGGAGGCCACCGAAGGGGCGCTCTCCGTTTTTCAGGCAGGAGAGTTTGGTTGCCAGCAGATTCTTACGGGGCCAAGGGCGGCCTGAAGGCCTGAAGATGTGGCTCAACTTCTTGGGTACCACAAGAACTCTGACCTGAGAGCAAGTGCTTGTTAGCTTTGCGCAGGGTGGGGAAAGGATTGGAATTTCAAACAACGTTTCTTGCGTTTGTGACCCTTCATACGCTGCATTTTCCACTGGTGATGCGCACGGAAACGTGGAATTTGGCATCTCCTAGCGCTTTCCAGAGAAGCCATGCGAAGCCCGCATGGCGCAAGGAGTGGCTCGATTCAGAGCCAGCGGGCAGTGTGCGCCAGGCCAGCACCAGCTTCGACGAGAGTAGCTGTCCAGTGGCCCCGAGCTGGTTGGAGAAAGCCAGCTCTGAGACCGTCTTCTGGGGGCTCATGGTGCCAAGGCCGCAAAGAAAATCGCGAGTTCGGCATCTGGTCCCTTCAGATGTGGAGCCCATTTTTAGGCGGAGAAAGCTTCCGTTTGTTGCCCGAACTAAAGGGGCTCCCGCCTTCCGGTCTGAGGTGGGTGTGGCGCTGTGCGGCTCCTGCTGCGTTCTGCTTGTGCTGCTGGGCGGCGCGTGGCGCAGCCGTGTCTTGGCCGTGGCTGGCAACTCCGAACTTTTCCACAACCTCCCTCCCTCAACGCGCCCCCACAATCCCCCCACAACTGGCAAAGGATCTGGACAATCGCTGCGAGGCACTGCTTGCCAAAGCGTTGCCAGATCCTGCGCCGTGGCTGGAGTGGGGTACGGGCTCAGGCCGGTCAGTTCCCAGGCCAAAAGCCTTCGATGAAGTGGCAGCAAGACTCGGAGCTCGTGATTGGCAAGCCCTGCTGCATGGCTGCAAATCAAGTCAGAGCAAGGTGTTTCTTGCGATAGACCAATGCTTTGTAACATCTAGGTTCATCCGAAATCTGTATCACCCCTTGCACCCTCAACGCATGGGCTAGCTGCTAGCTTTGCGAGCACGGAAGCTTTGCGACTTTGCCAAGCGAGCTCGTTGGAGAGTTCTGACTTGGCTGTGGCTCAAAAACCCGGTACCAAAATGGAACCCTGGTAAGTGGAAACATGGACCAAAACCTGCGGTTTGCCCCTCCTGTTAAATTTTGCGCCACACCCATTTGTTCAAAGGACCCCAAACAGAGCAACTGGAATAAACGAGTGAGACCCCTTCGAAGCTCATCCCAGTGAGTCACTTTGCCTTTGTAACGTTGACCCCAAATTAATCAAGCCCAGTGTATTAATAGGGGTGTGATTGGTTTGAGAGAGGGCATGGCCCAAGGCAGCGATGCGCCGCATGCCGACGTGGTGGAGGGAAAGACCAAGAAGTCAGACGACCTCGTGAAGGCCGCCCGGAGAGAGTTGCTCGTTGCTTTTGGCCGTGCTTCAGTGTTCGCACTTGCGCGCGAGTGAGAAAGGAAGGGAGGGAGGAAAGAAGGGAGGGAGGGAGGAAGGGAGGAAGAAAAGAAAGAGAAAGAACAGAAGCAAGAAAAGAAGAAAGACAATACCAGACCACAAACAAAGGAAAAAAACAAGACAGAAAAACAAATAGATAGAGAAAGAAAGAAGGACAGAAAGCAAGAGGGAAAGAAAGAAAGCGAGAGAGAGAGAGAGAGCGAGAGAGAGAGAGAGAGAGAGCGAGAAACAGAAAAACAACAACACCTAAATTCATGCATAAAGCAAGAAAACACAACGGAAGAAAAGGATTGAAGGAAGGAAGGAAGGAAGGAAGGAAGGAAGGAAGGAAGGAAGGATGGAAGGAAGGAAGGAAGGAAGGAAGGAAGGAAGGAAGGATGGAAGGAAGGAAGGAAGGAAGGAAGGAGGAAGGCAGGGAGGGAGGGAGGGAGGAAGGATGGAAGGAAGGAAGGAAGAAGGAAGGAAGAAGGAAGGAAGAAGGAAGGAAGAAGGAAGGAAGAAGGAGGGAAGGAAGGAAGAAGGAAGGAAGGAAGGAAGGAAGGAAGGAAGGAAGGAGGAAGGAAGGAAGGAAGGAGGAAGGAAGGAGGAAGGAAGGAGGAAGGAAGGAAAGAAAGAAGGAAGGAAGGAAGGAAGGAGGGAAGGAAGGGACGGAGGGAGGGAGGGAGATGGAAGGATGGAAGGATGGAAGGATGGAAGGATGGAAGGATGGAAGGATGGAAGGATGGAAGGATGGAAGGATGGAAGGATGGAAGGATGGAAGGGAAGGATGGAAGGATGGAAGGATGGAAGGATGGAAGGATGGAAGGATGGAAGGATGGAAGGATGGAAGGATGGAAGGATGGAAGGATGGAAGGATGGAAGGATGGAAGGATGGAAGGATGGAAGGATGGAAGGATGGAAGGATGGAAGGATGGAAGGATGGAAGGATGGAAGGATGGAAGGATGGAAGGATGGAAGGATGGAAGGATGGAAGGATGGAAGGATGGAAGGATGGAAGGATGGAAGGATGGAAGGATGGAAGGATGGAAGGATGGAAGGATGGAAGGATGGAAGGATGGAAGGATGGAAGGATGGAAGGAAGGAAGGAAGGAAGGAAGGATGGGAGGAAGGAAGGAAGGAAGGAAGGAAGGAAGGAAGGAAGGAAGGAGGAAGGAAGGAAGGAAGGAAGGAAGGAAGGAAGGAGGGAGGAAGGAAGGAAGGAGGAAGGAAGGAAGGAATGAAGGGAGGGAGGGAAGCAAGAAAGAAAGACAGAAAGCAAGAAAGAAATACCGGAATAAATGCATAGCGCGAAGGAGGGAGGGAAGGAGGGAGGGAGGGAGGGAGGGAGGGAGGAAGGGAGGGAGGAGGGAGGGAGAGAGGGAGGGAGGAAGGAAGGAAGGAAAGACAGACAGAGACAGGCAGAGATACAGAGACAGAGACACACAGACACACACGCAGAGACAGACAGACACTGACAGACAGACGCTGACAGACAGACACTGGCAGACGGACACAGACAGAGACAGAGACAGAGACAGGCAGACACTGATCCACCGCGCGACAGCCTGACAAGAGCCAACAACCACATAGCGGGCGCGCAACAAACATGTAGCAACCACGCAACCGCCACACAACAGCCACGCAACAGACGCACACAACAACCACACCAACACAAGCGCAACCACACACACACACACAAATGCAAGCGCAAACGGAAACGCAAGCACAAACTCAAACCCAAGCATAAACACAAACTCAAACACAAACACAAGAACAAACAGAAGAACAAACAGAAGAACTAACAAAAGAACAACCACAAGAACAATCACAAGAACAACCTCCAACAAACCTCAAACACACAAGCGTAAGCACAAGCGCAAACACACAAGCGCAAACACAAACACAAATACACACTCGAACCCAAAGCCCAACTCAAACCTAAGCCCAAGCCCAGGCCCAAGCCCCAGCGAAACACAGACAAACACACAAACACAATCACACACACAAACACAAGCTTAAACACGAAGCCAATCACAAACACAACCACACACACAAGCACAAACGCAAACACAACCACAACCACGAAACACAAACACAAGCACAAGAACGAGCGCAAGCGCAAACACGAACACAAGCACAAACACGAACACACACACACACACAAACACAAACACGAAGTCAATCACAAGAACAAGCGCAAGCACAAGGACAAACACAAACTCACTTGTACTCATAAACACAAACACGGAACAAAAACACAGGCACAAGCACAAAGCCAAGCACAAGAAGACACACAATCACAAACACAACTAGACACGCAAGCCCAAGCACAAGAACAAGGTGCCCAGGCTTTGGGTGGCTCGTGAACGATTGCTGGTTCGAGCATCCTTCTAGGGGGAAGCCTGCAACCATGTCATCCATCGAGATCCGCGGCACGTTTTCAGCTGCACAGGTTGCGAATGGCTCTCAGATCTACGCCATGTTTCAGCCGCCCAGGTTTCCCAAAACTTCCAAAGTCTTTGCAGGCGACACTGCGCCCCCAACATACCGAGAACGCCGTAGCCATTCCTACGCAATTCAAGAGGCTTTCTGTTGACCTTACGGCTTTGCTTGGAGACAAACTGCAAATGAACGCGGTTCACATTATCGTCAGCGACCATGAACCCAAACAACCCCACCCCCCCTCGTACGAGGTCAGAATTGGGCCTATGTGTCGTCCAAGGTTTCTGGAAGGTTTCTGGGTGCAGGAACATTCTTTTTTTTGCATTGTTTGTGTTGTTTAAATTTTTCGGGTGGTGTAGGCCAGTCCTGCATTTCCGAATACTTCCGAATCGGAATATTCCGAATTTTCGGAATAATCGAACTTTCATAGCAGTAATTCCGAAAATTCAGAATAGTTCCCATTTGGACTATTCCACATTTTCGGATTTTTCCCATTTTCGGAGTATATTTAGCTTTATTTCCAAAAAAATGCCAAAATTCGGAAAATATTGAATTGGAATATTCCGAATTCCGAATAGTTATATTCTAAATTTTCGGATGTCTTTCGACTCTTCGGAAATATTGAGCGCGAATTCCAAATATTTCGAAAGATTCCAAAAATTCGGAATATTCCGACTCGGAATTATTCGGAATTTGCCGAAGTAGAACTAACTCGCACACAATTATAAACGGGAAATATCTACTAGTCCTCAACATGGAGCCGCTGCCAGATCCAATTCTATCCAGTGTCGCCCTGTTCGCCTTTTTGGACTAAACGCATCCCAAAGGGAAGATGACGCGCCTCTCCGCAAGCCAGCCGCAGGACGCAAGCGCGCCGCGTTCACCCTTGAGCGCGCCTGCGCAGGCCTAAGCGACAGCGATAGATGCAGGAGGGTGCTGTGTGCCATGCAAAGGTAACATGTGTCGGTTCTGCGCTTGTGGGGCTTTCCCAGGCCCGTAACAATAATACTCAGCTGTGGGCACGTGGCCTCTGTCAGTCTCTTGATAACGTACCTAGATGCACGCTTGTGGCCTGTGTTTGGCCGCTGGCAATAATAGTTAGCTGCGCACCTGCGCCCCTTTGTCAGTCTACTGACATGCGCGCTTGTGGTCTGTGCTTCTGCTGACAATGATACTCAGTTGTGCTCCTGTGGCCCTTGTCAGTCTCCTGACTCTGAACATAGCTGCACGCCTGTGGCCACGGGCGATATTACATACTTAGCTGCGTGCTTGCAATTCCTTTGTTGGTCATGAAATTGAAATTAACACATGCACACGAGTAAGAACACACGTGTTTGAACCAAGTGTATGTGTATTTCACAATATCCTGTTGCATGGTAAGTGCATATCTCTGTAGCACCATGTGGGGATAGAGTTTTGGTGTGTGTGTGTGAGTGCATGAACATGTAACATGGCGCACGAAGACGCTGCATCACCCTCCAGCTTGTAGAGAGTGGCTGCAC